AAAGAAACCAATATTCTCTAAGATTTGAGGTAGCAAATATATATGCATATGTATACGTATGTTTGTATATATATATACATTTATACATATGTATATACATATATACATAAGGTAATCAGGAAATTTTTAATATAAAAAGGACAAAAATGGGATGCTTTACATAACAGCCTCACTTTTGTCTACCTATAGAAGTAGTAGTTATATGAACTACTGTTTACCTTCTCCAGAACGTAAATCATATAAAAATGTGTGTGTGTGTGTCTTGTGTAGGTCTTTGCCTTCAAAAATGATGCAGCTGATGACTTTGCTATTTGGATCTGTCACTGGTACACGCAGAGAGAATCATTAAGGGTTAGAATCTCAAAGGACATCAAGGCCAAACCTCTTCCGTCTCTTAAAACATCCAACTGCGGGGCTGGAGCGATAGTACCGCGGGTAGGGCCTTTGCTTGGCATGTGACCGACCCGGGTTCGATTTCCAGCATCGCTTATGGTGCCCCTGAGCACCACCAGGAGTAATTCCTGAGCGCAGAGCCAGGAATAACCCCTGTGCATTACCCGGTGTGACCCAAAAAGGAAAAAAGAAAAAAAAAATCCAACTGCGTTTGGAGTGACGGCGAGTCAGGGCTTGGAGGCAGCCCTGAGCAGGGCCGACTCCCACAGAGACGCAATAGCATCTCTTCTCGCCAACACACTGCCGCGGGATGGCCTTTTTACGTATCTAGGTGGTCTACACCTCGAATTCTGCCTCCATCATATGAAATGGGGTGCTGTGGGAACATACACAGTGAGTGAGCAGATGCTGCGCCAGAGCACGGGCTGGAATCGATCCGGGGTGCGATTCTTCCCACCCCGAGACCTGACACCTCCCACCACCACCGGACCACCAGCCAGACCCCGGGATGCGCCTTCTCGAGCGACCACCAGGCCAGCCCGCCAGCGCCCCCGTGTGTCCTCCGTCGGCCTTGCACCCAGCAGGCCACCCACCGCCCGCTCCTATTCCCCTGCCAAGAGCTCAGCGCGCACACCCACACCCTGTTGGGGTGAGGGGGCTCTCCTCTCCCCGCACCAATCCGCACCCCGGAAATGCTGACCCTGGCCGCTCTCTGCACCCAGAGGCACGCGCTTCTTCCGCAGCTACTGCCCCCTCCCTCTCCAGACTGAAGGGGGCGGGTTGCTGCAGGCAGCGCGTCCTCCCCGCAGGATTTCGGCTCTTGGGGAGGGGACGAGGCGCTGGGGGTTCCCTAAGGGGTGCGGTGCGTGCGCAGAGGGAGCACCGCCACGCACCAGCCGTGCCCCAGCCTGGGACTCGCCAGGGTCCAGGCATCCCCATCCCAATTTCTGCGGTGCGACGTGCAGAGCTGCGGGCCCCGGGTGGGGGTGGAGGGGGTGAAGTCGCAGCATCCGCAGAACAAAGACTCACGTCCAGTCCCCTAGGGACCTGGAACGCGCCGCCGCGCCTCCTTCCCCGACCCGGCAGCAGGGAAACGGCCAGCGAACGGCGGGGGGCCGGGTCCACGCGCACCCCCGCACCCGGAGGGACCCTCGGAGGGTGGTCGGTGCTGCACGCTCCCCCTCCCTGCCCCCCGCGCCACACCTCCCAGGGCCCTGGTGCATTTTTCCTGTTTTGATTTTTGAGTGATTCTTGCCAGGGCTCGGGCTGTCCTTCGCACTAGCGCAAGGATGGGGATGGCTGCGCCCCCGTCGGAAGCAGGTGGGGCCGCGGCAGGTCTGTGCGCCGGAATCGCTCCTTTGCCATTGTTCCCACCCAGCGCCCCGCCCGCGCCCCCACCCGAGCTGGTGTTTCTCGCTCGCTCGCTCTCGCTCTTTTTTTTCACCCTTTCTTCCCGCAGCACTGTTGCTATGGGTTACCCGGGCGGTTGCTATGGGTTACCGGACCGAGGCCCGCAGGCTCGCTACCTGCCGCCGCCCGCGGAGCAGCCCGGGCGGGAGGAGGCGGGAGCGCGCGTGTGCGGGACGCGGCGCGGGGGAGCGCGCGAGCCGGGGCGCCGCAGCCAACAGGCGGCCGGGGGTGCAGCGGCTGCAGCAGCGCCTCCGGCTGGGTGGGGGGAGAGCTATAAAGAAGGCCTAGAGGTAAGAAACTAGCAACAACAAAAAAATAAAACACACACACGCACGCACGCACGCAACTCCAAACCCGTGCTGTGCCTCTAGCCGCAAAGACGAGCAGCGTGGGGCTTTGGATGCATGGGCACTTCTCGTCTGGGGAGAAAGGGTGTTTTCCTCTTTAGCATAAACCACTTGCTTTAGATTCAGACTTTAGATGATTCAGCAGAAAATTTGTAGCTTATTTTTTTTTCTATATCTTTTGCAAGTCTTTGAGGTGTCGGAGAAAGAATAATGAGAAGAAAGGGGTGATGAGCTACCATTGTTTGCGCAGCTAAACCTAAACGAGTGTCCAATGCCATGTTCCTAACAACGCTATATAAAAGTTTCCAGCAAAAGTGAAGTGCAACCGTGTCTGATTTAAAGGGATAATGACCACTCGTTTGGGAGATGTATCTGACCAAGAATAAAGCTAAAATGCCTTTGTAAATATTTGAGATTTTTAAAAAGAAACTGTTGTATTTACATTCTATAATTTTTGGACCCCTCTTAGTGAAATTGAAAGTATCAAGTGTGTTCATTTCTTAATGGCCTTTATTTGCAAAGAGTTTGTGTCTGTTGCGAATGTCAAATTGCAGTAATTCATGTCAGATGGCATTTTTTACTTTAAAATGTATTTATCTATAAGAAAAGGTTTATAAGAAAAGTAAAACCAAAATTGCTTCTTCCAATGAAAAGATGATGCTTTGTATTCACAGGTTACCAACTACTTAATGTAAGTAGGAAAGGGAAAATCATTTAGAAAATAGGGTACGTTTTTGTTTGTTCTTTTTGTCTCAGGATTTTAAAGACTCTTTTGGGCAAGGGTCCTTCTTTAAGGCCAAAATACTAAACATTTCTTTGAACCACAGTAGCTCAAGACTAAATTCTTCAGGCACTAAAAAATAAAAAACAAAAAATAAACTGAGTTCAAAAAACATATGACTGTTGCCAGTCGAAAATGATGTCTAAATTCTTAACAGATTTAAAATAAAATGGATTCTTTTAGGTCCCCATATGTTATTGCTATCACTTGTAATTATTTAATAAAATGTGAACTAGGTCTGAACTAAAGCTGTTACACAGTATTTAAAGATATAAAGCTATTATTACTCAAACATTTGTGCTTTTCCACATTAAATTTTAAAAGGACAGTTGAACCTAGAGTTGAAATCTTTTTTTCAAGTGATATTTGAATAAAACCCCTAAGTAACAGGTTGTTGGCTTTCATTTTTTGTTATTTTTGGTTTTATTTTCATTGTTGACACCTTTAGGTTATATAACAAAACCAGTTCTACAACAAAACATAATAAACTGGCACTATCAATGCATCATCGCCTGCCCTTTCAGAATCAACTAGGGAAAAGAGTTTTTGTTCTCTGGAAATTATCAAGTATCCAGAATGAAAATTCTCTCCATTTAAGCTACATTTAAAAATATTTTAAATATTCATCTATTCTAGAATTTTAATGACTTGAGCAATTATTTTATTTTCCTAAAGAAAAATTTATATAAACATTTGCTAGAGCATAATAGGACGATGCAGCTGACATTCATCTAAAGAGTTCAGCTTCAGGAAATCAGCTGTCCCATTACCGGTCCTTAGCCAGCAGAACACATCAACCAGGGCTAAATGCAGGCTCGATAGCATTTGTGCGACTCAACAGTCAAGTCTGACCAAAGTGCTTCACTGAAAAATTACCTATCGTTCAAAAACAGTACGTTTAGGTCTAAGTCAAATGAAGTACATTCTCTTGTTCATGGAATAAATAATCCAACACACTCAAGCTGATATTTTCCCGTTTAATGTGATCTTGCAAGGTTTAAGGAAGTTTAGGCATTACTCAAAATCAGTTTTGCTACCGACGTTACATCATGAAAACATAGCATGATGGTTGGTGGCACATCATCTGCTTTTCAAAACTGCTATGACACAGAAATAATGTGACTTAATATACAGAGTGCTGAGGAGCAGGGCATGATCCTTCAGTAACAGGATGACACACTTGACACAATGAAGAGAAGAAGAAATTGCTAACTTCTTCCTAATATAACAATGATGCCCAGGTGAGGTTAGTAGGATTCAAGATACATTAAATAAAAATATTCACAGAAGTTTCAACTATGTCTTAGACCAAACAAAAACCGAGGAGAAATTAAAGAATCCATTTCTATTCTAAATTCAGTTTTGGGGGTTCTTAGTTATAAGCATTTTGAAGACTTTTAAAATATAATATAGTAACTTCTAAACTCCAAGTTGAAAAAGAGGCTACATTTAATTAAAAGCAACAAGTTATCCCAGGTATGGAAAAATACCTCTTGTTTCAGAGGTACTTTGTATCAGATCACAGGAAGGAACTTCCATTAATTATCTCAAGAAAACTCTGCCTATACTGAAATCTGAAAGTGAAAACTAGTTTATCTAAGACATTTTTCTCTTTGGGCCACTCACAAAACTCTTATTAAAATCATATCAACTTTCTAGCAGATGTAGAAAAAGAAAGGGTTTGTTCAAAATAAATAATTAATTCTGAAGTTATCAAGTAAATGGCCTTTTAAAATCTTTTGGTAAGGTTAAATTTATTAATTTTTATAACATCCTGCTTCTAACTTGGTAACAAGTAATCAATATCGGCAACTTGATCAAGTGATAAGAAAGTGCATATTTAGTCAGAAAATAAATCATTAATCTGTGAATTTAATTATCTGCTGATAATGAAAACAAATTATTTGTTTCCAGAAGCCAAGTGTTTAAGCTTCTTTTGGACAATGAAAATTTATTTCTGGTACTATATGCTACAAATACAAGCAAAATTCCTAGGAGTATTTCTGTTTGTGTTCCCACCCCCGCCACCCCCCACCCCCTCGAAGATGTAAACATCATTTGAACATGCCTGAGTCATAAAGATACGTTTCCATCTGAGCATGAAACAGAATACAAGAAAGGTTAACCCGCTTAAAAGACTTCCAACACCTCAAAGTCCTGTTTTCCCAGTGCAAGGGGAAGTACCCACAAAATACCAGCCTCCTTTTGGGAAGGCAGGCTGGTCTAAGCTGTCAGTCTACGTAGTGGTTGAGACACTACATGATACGTTGGTCATAATACTGCCCCACAGATACAAGAACAGATGGTGCGGCTGGATTTGAAATGCTACCACTGATGTCCCTATCTTTTACAATTCAATACAGTCAGTTCCATTTCCCTCCCCCCACACACACCCCAACATAGCAAGTGTTTTAAATTCACGTAGGATCTTACTTTACCAATAACATTTGTTTACAGGGGAGTATACTGCATTCATGGGCGTTCAGCTTTTTTTTTTTTTACAGAAGCTTAACCAAAAAATGGACAACAACTACAACCAAATAAAAAAATATGACACTAATAAATAATCCAAGGTCTTTACAAATTTGAATACTGCATATTGTCACGGTGAGCTGTAGGTAAGAGTAGCTTTAGCAGCAAGCTTTCTCCTCTATGACTGGACACGATTTGCTATTCCTAAGGGGGTAACATCAGGATTCGTTTTCAGGATTCCTGCGGAGCTGTGCTCCTTGTACATCCATGGGAACTGCTGTCATCACTACTATGTCCAAATCCAGAGGATGAACTGGAAAAGAAAAGAGGGGGAAATCATAAAAAGAGGAAATTGGTTTTCACAACACACTCAAAGCCTGAGTAACAGAGGAGAACTTTAATTATCTCCAGTCACAAAGAGAGACAGGAAATTTGGACTTTTAATTAGCCATTTGGAGTGCAGTTGGATATTTTTTTAGCTAGATAATTTAAACGCGAATAATTCAAGTCTGACTAAATGAAAGTCACATAATCAGAATGCAGATAATTGAATTTCTACTGCATTCATTAATTCAGTGTGGAGGTGTGTGTGAAGACTACTATGATGAGCTGTCACAGCTCAATAAAATCTCAGTCAATTAATTTTTTCATTATCTTAGTATTACATCAACAAAAAAGTGAAGTGTGCATGAATCTCTATACACAAGCATCCTGTGTTGTATAAATATATGTGCATTCAATCACAATGCAAGGAAGTACCTTTCTGAGTCATAATCTACATCATTTTCTTTTTTCCCTTCTTCATCTTCTTCAGGGAAACGTCTGTTCATCAGAGCAAACTTGTGAATAGCTTCTTCTACAGAGTACTTGGTCTGCCCAGACACGCACGCCTCGATGTCCTCTGAGTTTAGATGACTCTGCAAGAAGAGGTGAAGGCTGCTATCTGACAAAAGAAGTGCGTTCTGGAGAACCCTGTGCGAAAGAAACCAGAAGGGAGAAGGGTGAATGGGGGTGGCCCATTAAAGGGCAGGGTGAGAGAGGCATTAGAAATGTACCACCAAAGTAATTTCTCTACTCCAGCATTCTTTGCCGTCAATTATGGGATGCTGTCAATGAAAGCAAATGTGAACTTTCATTCAATTATTTGGAAATTTAGGTGAGTAAAAACATAAAGCTAATAGTTAAGAACATCTGTTAAAAGAATAACTTCAAGGACATTTCTTCCATTTAACCATCTGTTATGACCATGTGGATTAATTATGGAAGTATTTGGCTTCTAGATTCAGAGAATTGTATTCTACTTTCAAAAAAATTTTTTTCTTTTTTTTTTTAATTGCCAACCAGCATGACAGTTCTGTACTCTTTATTGGTTAGGCTGTTGTTGGACATCAAAACTTTCGACTGCTATTAAATTTGTATTGAAAAACCCATTCATTTTCTCAGCATGTTCTACATGTTCAAACTTTACAAGTACGCACATGTGCAAGTTTTACAAAGGCTGGCTTGAGAAATGGCCTTTTTCTGAGTACCTAAGATTGGCTAGAAATTTGTCCCCAATCATCAGCAGCTCCACCGTATACGTTGTTAAAGTGAGCCACCAAATAAAATCACTCCCAGCCAATATTACTATATTGTAAATGAAAAGAGAATAGTTTTGTGAGACATGCCTTCCTCTTTTCAAGTTCAAAGTCTCCAAAGATAGCAAAAACTTCAACAAGGGCTTCGGAACAACAGGGGTTTAAAAGCAACCCTTCGAGGTAAACCTACACATGTGATCAGTGACCGTGTGTTTTTCTGAAATGTATGCCTTAGAATAGAAAACTCCAAGTAGACTCATATTTAAACTGAGACTGGCTTTATCTCTGCAGCAACGATTTTGAGTGATGGTAGTTAAGTCTCTCATCAAAATTCCATAATTATACAACACAAGAAACTCAGACCAGATGTCGGGGACAGAACCAGAACCCTCAAGACCAAGGCAAGTTTAGTCGGATATGGGAGTTTTCATCAAGAGATCTATGAAAACTTTTAAAGTGAGCATATGTTTCTGACTAAAGGAAACTTGCCTTATATCTGCATTTGGACATAACTAAATACGTAAAACTCTTTCAGCCACTCAGATCAACTGCAAGTCCCAGATCATGAGGATGGTTCCTTTTCTTTATTAAGAAAGAAAGAAAGAAAGAAAGAAAGAAAGAAAGAAAGAAAGAAAGAAAGAAAGAAAGAAAAAGAACTGTTTTCTTGAAGTAAGAGTTCTCTCAAAGGGCAAAGTATGAAAACCAAAGTCTGGCCACACTACTTCCTAGGCTTCAAACGACTTGCTCAACTGGCGCTGGAGAAAATATTCCTCACCAGCCTGCGAAAAGGAAAAGCAAAACCTCTGCGCTTTGGAAAAGGCAAGCTCCCAAGTGAAGCAGCTAAAAGCTTCCTCTCACCCTTTGTCCTGTCCCTGGGTTCTCCCAAAGATGACCATATCGCACAATAAAGATTAATTTACCAAGTCCGAGTAGTCAAGTAGTAAATCCCTTTTACTACTACTCAAGATTTATTTTCTCCATTTAGAAATGTTTACCAGTCCTGTTTTAAATACTACGCATCAAGGGAAGATTTATACGGCCGGGCCCGTGCATATCAGCTCACAGGCCTGTGAAGTCTGACCAGCGTTTCCTGTGTCCTCCCTACAGCAGTTTCCTGCCAGCCCGAGGACAAGTAACTGTTCATAGGATTATACTTACTGCTTTGTTTCTGTTGGAAATGTGTTTTATTTTCTTTATAAAATAATGGGTAATCTTTAAAATTGATTTTAGATGGTTCGAGGCATTGCACCACAAAAGTAATGAGCACTAATGCCAATGATATTGGACACAAATTCATTTTAGCTTTATTTCATGTCTAAAGCAATTCTACTGAGCCTTGAACTGCTCACGCACTGTTATTAACTTGCTAGTCACCTAACACATGGGGACAGCACACAAAAGTGATCAGAGTCCAGGTTGATTGGGACCTCAAGGCTACTGTCCTTTCTCTTGAGCTATAATTCAATTTCCAATTTTACTGTACATTAGACTCATTATTTCCCAGTGTTTTTTTTTCTGCTCAATACTGCCACCTGGAGGGTAAAGGATGCCCACACAGGCCCAAAGTTCAAAAAACCAGTGCATTTCCTAGGCACAGTTTGGGTTTTTTAATCCCCTTTAGTTTGGTTAAATTTATGCCACCATACTCCACGAATATTAGTTTTAAATAAGCAAAAAATTTTTTTTATATATTTATGCTTTTTTCTTTAAATCATATATATTTCAAAATGAAAATACCAAAAATTTGAGTGTTTTCCCATCTGGCTCAGTGAGTAGAATCAGTTCCGTTTGAGTAATATTTGGTTTACTATAAATCAGTGAGAATTGTGACTGCCGTCATCATATTAAATCCTATTTTACCTTACTCATATTTGGCTACAGTTTCCACAAACAAATCTAATAGCAGAAAATCAACTTCAAACTGAATATAAAGAGCACTTTGTAAAACAGTCAATAAAATGTCATGTTTATAAGCCTCCATAAAAATTAATGTGTACAATGCTCAAGCCGTTATAAAAAGAACAAAAAATAGCCTCGAGAATTTTAAAGGAAATTTCTGAAAAGATATTTACAACATGAGTCAAAAGTTATTCTATTCCCTGTAACAAATTTAAACAAAGCGAAACCTGTTTTCCCCTGACTCGGACACAGCTGAAAATCTGGTTTTCTTCAAGATGATTTTATTAGGTGTATTATATTGGTTCAATTAAGAAAAATATATAGCTATGCAAAACTATTTAATTCTAACTAAGGATGCCCTAAGTCTACCAAAACCCATATAAGAATGTGGGGGAGGGAGGGAGATAATATAGCAGGTAGGGCATTTGCCTTGCACACAGACAAGGGTTTGATCCCCAACACCCCTATGTGGTCCCCTAAGCCCCACCAGGAGTGATTCTTGAGCTCAGAGCCAAAAATAAGCCCTGCGCACCACATGTGTTGCCCAGCTTACCCACTCCCACATGTACACACACACACACACACACAAACACACACACACACACGGAGTATATGGAAGGTTTGTGCTTTGTTGTAGGAACAAATTTAATTCAGCCTGTTTACCTCTTACCATGAAAAAAAAAATAATAAACTCTACAAATCTTCACAAAAGACATTCATGATCTGTTCTATGGTGCCCTCTATTGAACACAGCCTTACACAAATTGTGAGTGCGCCTGTGAAAGGTTAGCTACAGTATTTCCGTTGCATCTTGTTTAAAAATAAATGATTTAAAGTTTAAAGAAAGACTAACCCGAACTGCATAGACCTAGATAGTAAGGTACACACAGCTGTAGTAAGGAGATGAATTCAGGAAGGAAGGAAAGCTGGTGTCCATTTGTGATATAAAGCCTTAAAAAGTTATTGGATTTGGGGGAAACCAGAGTGATAGTACAGCAGGTAGGGCATTTGGCTTGCACGCAGCCCGCCCGAGGCTGATCCCCAGCATTCCATGTGGTCTCCTGTGCACTGCCAGGAGTAATCTCTAAGCACAGAGCCAGGAGTAACTCCTGAACACTGCTGGGTATGGCCCAAAAAAGAAAAAAAAAAGAGGTTTGGAGGTGCTGCAGAGAGATCTCAATGGGCTGAGCTGCAGGCTTGCATGTGGAAGGCCCAAGTTGGATCCCCCACACCACATGGTCTTCCAAGCACCCCCAGAAGTACAGAGCTGGGAATAGTCCCCAGCACCACCAGGTGTAGCCCCCAAACCAAAAATCAACCATTGGAATAATATCATGCATCACTGAAGACTTGCCAGTTGTCCATAATTTTAGTCTCCAACTTTACTTTCCTGTAACTGTTACCAGAAGTGACTTTCGATTTCCTACTAGCTGGGGAGGAGACAGGGGAAGAACCCAAAGGGAGAAATTGTAACCAAGATTAAGGGGAAAAGAATGCATCTAAAAAATAACACCATTGTACAGGCCAAACATAGCTGTCAAAGTGATCTAACTGGGCCAGGCTTGAAGACCTGGAGCAAAGGTGAGATGAGAGTCCAGGGGCAGTGCCCAGCACTGCATGGTCCCACAAGCATCCCTGGGTGTGCCCCCACTGAAGAAAAAGTCCTTCCAGTGACAAAATCAATAACAAAGTACCCCAACATGTAATTTTCCTGTCTAGAGAACTGAGACAACACCCAACTCCTTATAAAGTAGGAGGTACTGAAACAAAACTTGTGAAAAGCTAACAACAGAGCAGGTCTTCAGTAAGTGGCATCTCTGAGTTTTCTCCAACCTGTTCACACCTGCAGGACGGCCGGCATACTTCTCCATAAACCGGCGATTGGAACCAAGGTGGTGTGAGCCCAGAGCTATAGGACAGCAGCGGGAAGGGCATTTGCCTCACTGGCGGCCGACCTGGGTTCAATCTCCAACACCCCATCTGCTCACCTGAGCCCGCCAGGAGAGATCCCTCAGCACAGAGCCAAAGGGGTGCACCAGTGTTTTTCAGCCTTCCCGCACCTGTAAACCATCACTGGTCTGTGAACTGCTGGCCAAAGACCTCTGAAAGCAATTCTTTCTGGCACCTTGTCAAAGAAAAAAACTTCCCAATTCCTCTACAAATATTGGTTTGGATATTTACTTCGCTAGTAAATATGTATTCTTTCATAGTCAAGCTTGAATTTTTTTTAACCATATTGGTATATATGCACACATGTGCAGAGATGATGTTCTGGTCCAAAGGGGTTGAACACATGATCACATTTTTGGTTAATAACTTCAAACCCTACATAAAAACTGCCCTGCACAGAATGAGTGGCAGAAAGAAGGGAGGGGGATACGGACCTGGCTCATTCATGCAGGGGCGGGCTGGATGGGCTGGCGGCCTTAGATGCCCTCTCTCCTCAGATCTGAACCACAGACGCAGCTCGGCTTGGGAACAAACGCTCACAGGCCAACCAGAAGACAGTGCCAGTATCTCCTCCACAATTTGACTTCCGGACAACCATCCAGACCCAACAAGGAGTCGCAACCCTACACAAGGCTTTGGGGCCGTCTCGTGTTGCCTTATCACCCCCAGAACCAGTGAGGTCCAAAGCAGGCACTTAACGAGGATCTGCTGATGGTCACAGCCCAGTCCCGGGAGGTCTTTCTGGGAGGCTTTTCTAAGTGACGTGACCACCCCATCAGCCAGCGATGCTCAGACTACAGGCCCAGGCCCTGGAGAGCAAAGCAGACTGGGAGAGCTGGGAGAAATGCAGGAGCCAAGGATCAGGGGTGACCTGGAAGCCAGCAACTGCAGCTCCTCCAGCTCCATCTGCCCGACCGTCAGCCAGCACGGCGCCCAGGGACAAGCGTCAGCATCAGCCCACTGCTACGGATTAATTGGCCGGTCAACTGTGGAAGGCGGGGCCATGCTCAAGGCAAAGCAGTGATTCCTGGGCCAAACCGCAGGCCCTGCGTAACTGCCACAGAAACACAGGTGCGTGCTCTCTCCAGCTCGCCAGTGAGACTTTTCTGCAGGAGCCAAGCAGCTTCCTGAAGATCACAAGTCTGGCGGCTGGAGGTGGACAACCTGGAGGTCAGTCCCTCTGAAGAGCCTGGCCTGCGGGGACCTGCTTCTGGGGCAGGCCATCAGCCACTGGGTCTCCTGTGGACAACTGACAAGGCTCTGTCCTCCAGGAAAGGGGCAGGACTCCTGGACAGGGGCTTTGTTCTCTCTGGCCTGGAAGCCATCCCAACACCACTGCTCTGTGTTCTGGCTCCGGCTCCGTTAAGGGGGTTCTATGGCTCTCTTGTCATTTTCTCTCTGGTTTCCTCTTTTTTAAAAGTAGATTTTATTGAATTATGTTTGGGTTTGAGGGTCACATACCCAACAGTGCTCAGGGTTTACTCCTGGCTCTGCACACAGGCATCATTCCTGGCAGAGTGCAGGGAACTCTATGGGGTGCCAGGGATCAAACCCAGGTCAGCCACATGCAAAGCAAGTGCCCTGCCCACTGTACGATTACTCCGGCCCTTAGCTTCCTTTTCTTTCCACACCCACCAACTTGTCATCTCCAGGTTTCCACATGTCTTCAATTACCCCTTCAAAAGAAAGGCGGGGCTTCAATCTCATCGTAGTCATATATTAATTTCACGTGCATATTTAATACCCAAACCTCTGCTGAGTGAGCCTAAGATAAGGCAGTTAGTCTATTATTACTTCAGCTTAGCTTTATGATGGGCTGAAGGGATAGCACAGCAGGTAGGGCGTTCGCCTTACAAGAGGCCAACCCAGGTTTAATTCCTTGGAGAGCCTGCCAAGCTACCAAGAGTATCCCACCTGCACAAGAGAGCTTGGCAAGCTCCCCGTGGCGTATCCGATATGCCAAAAACAGTAACAACAAGTCTCACAATAGAGACGTTACTGGTGCCTGCTCGAGCAAATCGATGAACAACGGGAGGACAGTGCTACGGTGCTAGTTTTAAGATACCATTTAGTGAACTCAGAAACAGATGGTTTCAGATCCCAATTTCACTGGAGAGGGAGAGGGTTCAGGAATCCTGGGTCCTATCTAACTAATACTCATCCAGCCAGGCTTTTCCCTAGTTGTGGAATAAGTTGTCAGAAAAAATGAGTTCAGGGCTGGAGCATAAGCTAGTATGCAGCCAACCTGGGTTCAATCCCCAACATCACATCTAGTCCCGTGAGCACTATCAGGAGTAATTCCTGAGTGCAGACCAAGAAAAAGTCCTGAGCACTGCTGGGTGTGGCCAAGATACAAACAAACACCCCCTTACCCCACCAAAAAAAAAAGGGGGCTCAATATCAATTCAGGTATAAAATAACACACTTCAACAGCACAGTGGAATAATACACACTTTATGTCACAGGCTGCTACCCAGTCTACCTGCTTCTTACCTCATCTAACCCTTTCACCCAACAGGCAGAGAAGGAACTAGTGTGAACCCATTTCATAGATGGGAAAAGATAAGCATAGAAGAGGCCAGAGACATGCCTGGCCTACTGAGTGGGAGAGAAGGGCTGAGCCTAGGCAGCCTGGTTCCAGAGATACGATGCCAGCAGGCTGGTGTCTGCAGAAGTCACTGCAGCATGACATAACGGCCAGTGGAAAAGGGAATCTCAGTGGTGCAAATTCGAGTGATTTTTAACTCAGTCAGTAGCTACCACCCCAGATGGAGCCAGAGTTAATAACCCACTGAGACTATACAAATGCCAGTAAACAGTCCCTTGTAAATGCTCTCTCCCAAGGGCAGAGGCAAACAACACGTGCCGCAGAGCCCGGCTAGACGCAGTCCACTGTACGGGGGATTTCGTCCTCAATGTTGTGAATAAAGAATTGTAACGAGGTGCCTTGGATTTAATAAGGCACATTTGTTTCTGAGGCAATTTCACTTCAGTGACCTACACTCAGCTTTACAGCGTAAGGGATCTTAAACATTCATTATCCGACTCCACTTTTCCTCCTGGCCTTGGGCCCACGAATGTGCCCACAAGATGGCACTGCAATCTAGGAAATGAAACGGGATTGGGCGGCTGCTCCCCCACCGACCCAGGGACAGCTGTGCGGCCCAGCTCCTGCTCCCTGACTTCAGGCTCACTTACTTTCTGAGGAAATCTTCCAGACCCTGCCGGCGCTGGTCTACATGCTGGCGATTATTCATGTTGAAAAACAGGTTTTTCGATGGAAGCTCTGGAAGTTGTCTGATGAGAAAGAAAAAAAGAGAGTTTTTTCCCCTTGAATGATCAATTCAAAGTGGTTATAGAAATCCCTTAGAATGAAAACAAATTATGTGTGATAATAAATATCGTGTTGGGGCTGGAGCGATAGCACAGTGGGTAGGGCGTTTGCCTTGCACATGGCCGACCCGGGTTCGATTCTCAGCATCCCATATGGTCCCCCGAGCACCACCAGGAGTAATTCCTGAGTGCATGAGCCAGGAGTAACCCCTGTGCAATGCCAGGTGTAACCCATAAAGCAAAAATAAATAAATAAATATAAATATCATGCAACTATCAGCTGCATAGATAAGGCCTGGAGCACATGGATTACCTTTCAGGAACCCTCCCACCTTTTTAAATTTTTTATTTTTTGGTTTTAGGGCCACACCTGGTGATCCTCAAGGGGTGCTCCTGGCTGTGCTCAGGAATTACTCCTGGCGGTGCTCAGGGAATCTTATGGGATGTTGGGGATTGAATCCAGGTCAGTTGCAAACAAGGCAAGTGTCCTAGCTGCTGTACTATCTCTCCAGCTCAGAAAACCCATTTTTAAACATTGAGATTGGGGCCAGAGCGATGTATAGTGGAGAGGGTACTTGCCTTGCATGCAGATGACCCGAGTGTGATCTTCAGCATTCAACATGGTTCCCCTCCCCGCCACCATCACCATCAGACTAATTCCTGAGTGCAGAGCCAGGAGTAACCCCTAAGCATCACTGTGTGTGGCCCAAATACAAAGAAACAAACAAACAAAAAAAAACCAGAAAAAATAACATGGTCTCCATAACTACTTCTAAAGCTTGGTGGAATTCACACACAAATTTTGAATTCAGATGCAAGAGACACACAAGTTATGCAACCAAGGCCTCTAACAGGGCCAGAGTAATAGTACAGAAGGTAGGGTATTTATTTGCCTGGCACATGGCCAACCCGGGTACAATCTCTGACATCCCATATGGTGCCCTGAGCACCACCAGGAATAATTCCTGAGTGCAGAGCCACGAGTAATCCCTGAGCATCGCTGGGTGTGATCCAAAAAGCAAAATACAAAAATTAAAAAGGCATCTATTAATCCCTTCCTAGTTTATAATTTGTAATGCAAACCAAACTTTCAAATATTGAATGTAGTACAAAAGAGAGCTCAATGGGCTGAGATCATGTTCTCCAAGTGGGAGGCCCAGGTTCTGTTCCCCAAGTACAGCCAGGAGTGGCCCCTGAGGACCACAAGGCATGGATGCCAAAGCCAAAGATGTAGACACATATGTATCAGTATATTAACAGTCTCCCAAATGCATGCATATGTGATACGCAGCTAATGTAGTGACTGTCTCCTAAAAATATTTCCCGTCACTTACACCAGCAGTGCATTGCTCTGGAGTCTCTGCCTCAGCCACACGAACTCCCTGTACCTTCGTCGGACACAGGATGTCTTCATGGTGAAACACATGCTATTGGTCTGTGCAGAGAAAAAGGAAACATGAACAGTAGGCAACCAAAACTCAAATGAGATTCAAAGAGCCGTAACCCTATCTACATTCCTAGGGGCCTCTCAGGTGCCCTGCCCATCTATTAGTGGGGCTGACATGAATGGGGAGCTGTCCTGGGCCGAGGGTGCCAAGTCACTGCGGGATGGTAAGGCCACACCCAGCAGCACCCGGCATTTAGTCCCAGCTCTGTGTTCAGGGTTGATTCCGGGCAGGGCTCAGAGGACCATATAGGATGGCATGAATCAGTCATGTGCAAGGCAAATGCTCTCCTCTCCTGTACCAGCCCCTCAGTAGGACTGACTAGGATGGATGCTAATGGAAAATGAATCCTGAAGCATTAATGACTAATGGGAACCCAATCCGCTGCACTTCTCTGCCATCCATCTGTCCGGTGTAGCTGGAGAGGTCTTTGGGGATTAGAGAGGCCTTCTCAGGGTCCAGGCCCGGCCCCACTGAGGCAGTGTGCCCCTGACATGTCACCCCAACTTCAGGAATCCCAACATCACTCTTCAGTCAAAGAAGAGATGTTACATGGATCTAGTGGTGGCTCGGTACAGGGAAAGTTGCTGAAAGTCTAGTTTCCTGAAGGGTGAATCAAGGATCCTTTTCCACTGGGGGCCCTAAAGGGCTGAGGAACATTTAACCATGTGACTGGTTAATGTGAGTGTCAGTTACTAGACAGGTTTTCTTCTACTTCTCTAAGGCACAAAGCTGACCACATGCAGTTCCTTAGACCTCATAAATTCCTGACTTTCTGTTTTGCGTAAAACAGGAAGCTTGTCTGGTGGCTTTGTAAGATCTCCCTATCTATTTCACAATTCTATTTCCTAACTCTTATTTTGCCAAATGCAATTTTTTTTTTGCCTCCACAACGGTTTGATTCCACTAGTTAATAATACCCCCTACACACACACACAGATCAATGATTTTCCTTGTAAAAATCTAAGTGAAGGTGCACCTCGATTCTTAAACTCTTGTCGTGAAACGCCTGGCCCCATTCCTGGTATTCCTGGATTCAGCAAACCTGAGCTTCAGAGAGTAATATGCTAGGCCCATTGGGGTTAAGGGACTGAGCACCTTCACATTTGGATGATTCGGCAGCGAAACATGCATTTGGGGTGCAATAGCATTCTTTTTTTTTCTTTTGGGTCACATCTGGTGATGCTCAAGGGTGACTCCCAGCTCTGCACTCAGGAATTACTCCTGGCAGTGTTTGGGGGACCACATGGGATGCTGGGGATTGAACATGGGTCAGCCGCATGCAAGGCAAATACCCTACCCATTGCACTATCACTCCGGCCTGATGACATTCTGTGTGTGGGTTTTAAGACTCTCAGGCCCTGGCTAATGTGACCCCGGGACTTGAGCAGCAGGCGGTTCCACAAAATCAGTGCCCTAATGAGGCCTGGGCAGGGATCTTCAGGGTGCTGTTCCCACAGAGCACCAGGCCACTGCAGGAAGTCCTGATGCCACAGGCACAGGCGGATTTAATTCCACGGCCTCCGAGTCACTGTGGCGTCAGCAGAGAGATGTTCCCCTAGTCCCTCACCCAGGCCAACGTCTGTCTACAAGTTCTTCAAGTTTGGGACAATGTATTGAAAATGGACAACCCACCTCCGTGACCCACTGGCTTAAAATTCCCAGAAAGGGAATATATCCCAGAGAGGCAAAAATGTATAGTCGAAGTGACATCTACACTTGTTTGTTCATTGCAGCACACTTTACAATAGCCAGAATCTGGAAAAAAACCTGAGTGCCCAAGAACAGATGACTGGTTAAAGAAACTTTGGTACATCTACACAATGGAGGACTATGCAGCTGTTAGAAAATATGAAGTCATGAAATTTACATACAAGTGGTACTACATGGAAAGTATCATGCTAAGCGAAATGAGTCAGAAAGAGAGGGATAGACATAAAAAGACTGCATTCATCTGGGGGACATAAAGTAACAAAATAGGAGATTAATACCAAGAATAGCCGAGATCAGTACCAGGAGGATTACTCCATGGCTTAGAGGCCAGCTGGGCATTTCTAGGGGAAAGGGCAGCTCCGATAGAGAAGGGAGCACCGAATAAAGGGTGTTTGGAGGATCCTCCCAGGATGGGAGATGCATGTTGAAAGTAGACTATGGACCGAACTTGATTGCCACTCGATGCCTCTTTTGCAGACCACAACACCCAAAAAGAGAGAACAAAAGGGAATGCCCTGCCACAGAGGCAGGGTGGGATGGGGGGGATGGGGGTGGGCGGGATACTGGGATCCATAGTGGTGGAAAATGGGCACTGGTGGAGGGATGGGTATTTGATCATTGTATAATCAAAACCCAAGCACAAAAATTTGTAAGTCTACATACAACTGTACCTCATGGTGTTTCACTAATAAAAATATAAAAAAAAAAATCCAGGAAAATACTGAGATTTCTGAATCTCCTGGTATCATTTCCCTGAAGAATAATTTAAATGAGTTATAGGCCAGTTTCTCTGGGCACAGATCTGAGGAGCAGGCTGGGAATTCTCAGCTCCATCCCTCCCAATCATACAATGAGCAGATGGAATTCTCTTGACAATCAGATCTGACCTGAGATCTGAACTAACAGCTTCATTTTCTCATAACCTGCTTGAGTGTATATTCAATCCAGTCAAGATTTCTTTCTGTCAACTTTATAGCATTTCCAATAAATGCCACAACATCCCCCAAATAATATTTGTAGAATTGGGGCTGGAGATATAGTGCAGTGGACAGGGTACTTGCTTTTGCATGTGGCTGACCTGGGTTCCATCCCTGACATCCATATAGTCCCCGAGTCTGCCAGAGTAATTCCTGAGTGCAGAGCCAAGAGTAACCCGAGCACCACCGGATATGCCCCCCCCCAAAAAAAAATTAAAATTTTTAAAAATAAATGTTTGTGGAACTCATGGTGTGTGGCTTAACATGAACATGTCTGGGGCTAGAGAGATAATACAGCAAGCAGGGTGCTTGCCCTGCACATGGCTGACACAGGTTCAACTACTAGAACCACATACAGTCCCCTGAGCTCCTCCAAAAGTGATTCCTGAGCACAACCAGGAGTGCCTCCAAAAAAAAATAAATAAAATTTTTTTTTCTTAAAAAAAAAGAACATTTCTGAATTCACATCATGCAATTTACAGAGCAGATTCCATACTTTGCATTAATTTCCTAAAAAATTTTAAAAAAAAGAAATAATTAAATGACATTGCCGGTTATCAAGTGAGTGATAAAGACTCACAAAATGTTTAGAGGAAGTCAAAATGCAACTAAAGATTTTCGTTTCAATTACTTAATTGTATACATTCATGCTATTATCTCCCAGAAAGAATGCATCTCTGTATGACCTTATAACTAATATCAAACCAGGTCAAAATACAAGGCAGGCGGTGGCAATTCAAAACTGCTGTTCTATGATTTTACTTTGCTTAGTCTCTAGGCTGAGAAATACTGAAGAAAAAAAAACATGAAAAAAGGAGAGAGAGAGAGAGAAAAAAAGAAAAATGGGGGGCACGGGGGGGCAGGGCTCGGCCTCCCCAGCAGCAGCACTGAGTGGTCACTGTGACAACACTGAAGGGGAGTCAGTTTTGAAAGAAAAGTTGCATGGCTGGTATTCAGGTTCCAAAGTACCTTTTTAACCATTGACAGTGGAAGATTCAAGAATGGCCGCATTTTCCTTCCCTTGTGTCCTGCAGTCACAGATAAAAGATAAGCCCATTTGGGTCTGGAGCGATAACACAACAGGTAGGGTGTTTGCCTTGCACTCGGCTGACCCGGGTTCAATTCCCAGCATCCCATGTGGTCCCCCAAGCATCGCCAAGAGTAATTCCTGAGTGCATGAGCCAGGAGTATCCCTTGTGCATTGCCAGGTGTGATCCAAAAAGGAAAAAAAAAAAGAGAGAGAGATATGAGCCCATTAAGGCCAGAGAGACAGTGCAGAGATTAAGGCACCTGCCACGTACGCAGCTCATCCTGGCTCCATCCCCAGCACCACAAACGGTCTCCTAAACATGTGGTCCCAAGCCCTCTGCCAACTACAACAGACTAAAATCCAAGACGTTTGGACTAATCAAATGGGAAAAGAGACAGGGTCAAGATCAGGAGCAAATAAACCATCAGCTGTGGATAAATCTGGTCTGCCATTATTCTGTAACAAACTTTACAGAACACTTTACTGAACACATTTCCAACCATTCACTTCTATAGAACTTAGCACAGGAAGGAGCCACTTGCACTCAGGTCGCAGGCTGAGGGCCTGGCACTTCACAGTTAAGGCTGAGTCAGCCTGTTCAGAGCCATCACAGAAGGACACAGCTCTAAGCAGAGGTGGTTATTTCCAACTTAAGTACCACATCTCTAGTTATGTGTTAGTTACTCAGCATCTAGACTGAAGCAGCTTAACTGTAGTATTCATTCCCTACTTTTATGCTACGTATAAACTCAGTCCTTTTCCCCTGCAGAATGCTTCCTCCTCTCAAAACTGAGGTTTCAGAGAGTTACATTCGTATTATCCAGAAATACAATGTAATAAACCATAAATAAAAGCCAGTAATGAGCTTGGACTTTAAAGATGAATTTTTAGATGTCTTCACATCTTTATACAGGAAATCAACAAATACTGAAATACCAGGACTATGTTAAAACAGGAATTCAAAAAAGTACCTTTTTCTACTATCTTACATGCAAAGATGAGTTGTAATCACTCAAATTCAATTTCTGGACTGAAGAAAAATTTTAGAAGCTACAATGTTAAAGTATACCATGAAATGTATGCCAGCTAAAATCACTAGATTCCTAGGGATTGCCAACAGAATACTTACATGGATACATATCTCATAGTCAATGTAAGAGTGCCAAAAGTCCTCCTTCTGAATCCTAGGATCTCGAACCCAGACGCTCACAAACTCCTGTAAGGGCATCATAAACAAAGAAAAAGATTTCAGATCTCCAAGTAGGGCCAAAGAGTTGAGAGAAATGACGAGGCTAAAAACAGAACTGAGATGAACTTTAACCAATGTGGTTAAAATCCTTCAAAAATCAAGAAGTAAGTGAATCAGACCATAGGAAGCCCAGGAAACACTTGTGCCACAAGGGAATTTTTAAATCATGCAAGAACTCTAGCTGGTTGCAATTTTGGGTAGTTTTACGGGTTGAAAACAATGAGCATATCCTCTAAAAGTTATTTTCAGCCCTGAGAAGCCAGTTCGTATCTTTCTTAGATGTTAAAAGTGATCATTCCTTCCTTTCTTCATCTGTCTACATTAAGATTTTCAGTCCTGAGCGAGAAGTCCCTTCCAAGAAACAAATGAGAGAGAATAGCAAAGGTCATGTGAGCAGCTACCAATGAGAGGTGAAAAATTCCTTTGTGAATGTGACTCTGCTTCACTAGACTCTGCATCATAAGCAGTAAGAATAAAAATACAAACCCATTATATGCGATTCTTTATTTTATTTTATTTTATTTTATTTTGGCTTTTGAGCCATATACAGTGTGCTTGGGGGTTGTTCTTGGCAGCACCCAGGAGACCACGAGGTATCAAGTAGCAAACCTGGGTCTCCTGCATGCAAAGCTTCACTGAGCTATCTCTTCATGCCTTACTTTTCTATTTTTTAAATATACTTTGCAGGGCCAGGGAGATGCGTCAGAACTACCAACTGAGCATGTGCCTTGCATATGTAAAATCCTGTGTTCAATCACTGGCACCGCAAAGATATAATATATATATATATGTATATGTATATATATATATATATATATATATATATATATATATATAAAAGGTAAAGGCCCTCCCGTTGTTCGTCAATTTGCTCGAGCGGGCCCAGTAACGTCTCCATTGGAGACTTTGTTGTTACTGTGTTTGGCATATCGAATACCTCACGGGGAGCTTGCCAGGCTCTGCCGTGCGGGCGAGATACTCTCAGTAGCTTGCCAGGCTCTCCGAGAGGGGCGGAGGAATCGAACTCGGGTCGGCCATGTTGGCTGCGTGCAAGGCAAACGCCCTACCGCTGTGCTATCGCTATATCCATATTATTTCATTTTCAAAGATTTGGGGGTGAGCTGCACCTTGATATGTTCAGGTCTTACTCCTACCCAGAGACGGAAACTAAAGAAATATTTCATGTCAGTTTCCTGTGAGAGAGAGAGAGAGAGAGAGATTCCTTTCTTTTCCAGAATTTACTTTTCGTACCCCACATTTCTTAGAAGGATGAAATGAATGATTGTTATGGCCAGACAATATTATAGAAGACCAGAGTTCAGAGTTGACCTCATTCAGCCCTGTAAACCAGCCCTATCCTAACCCACACATGCAGGGCTGCATTCTGGCCCTTTTACAATTATCCAGACGTATTAGGACATTTTGATATGTCTTAATAGGATGGAAATATTAATATTATATATTAAAGTTTTCTCTTTAACTCAAAAACTTGATTTAGCCTTTAATTTTAAAAAATAGAAAGTAGAGGCGGTACAGGAGATACGATGCTTGTCTTGCACACAGTCGACCCAAACTCAGTCCCTGGAACCCCATATTGTCCCCCCGACCCCAAGCCCCACCAGGTGAAGAGCTAGGAATAAGCCCCAAGCAATGCCAAGTGTAGCCCAATAAATAAATAAATAACCCCATATCAGATTGGGGGATAGGAGGGAACCTGGGGTCACTGGTGGAGGGATGGGGTCATGGTGTTGGGATTCAAGTCGTATGCCTGTGAACTCTGTTGTAAATAACTCTGTAAGTCACAATGTCTACAACAAGATTTTTAAATGATAAAAATAATAAAAATGATTTATGATCAAACACTATAAAATCCATAGTTATTTTGGTGTCACATTCCTCCAGATCAACCTGTTAATAATGAAAGGTAGATAAAAAGTGCATTCTCCTTCTTTGCTTGCTATTACTGCCCAATAATTAGCATATGTCTTTGGCAGTGGGGAGGGGGCACATATGGCAGTGCTCTGGGGCAACTCCAAAAGTTTTAAAGTTTTTGATCAGAAATCATTTTTATTTATTATTTTTATCATTTAAAAATCTTTTTGTAGACACTGTGACTTACAAAGTTACTTATAAAGTGATGCAGGGGGAGGGGGCTGGAGTGACAGCACAGCGGGTAGGGGATTTGCCTTGCATGCAGCTGGCCCGGGTTTGATTCCCAGCATCCCATATGGTCCCCTGAGCACCGCAGGAGTAATTCCTGAGTGCAGAGCCAGGAGTAACTCCTGTGCATCGCCAGGTATGACCCAAAGATTAAAAAAAAAAAAGTGATGCAGGGGGAACTATGCAGTGCTGGGCATTGAACCCGGGCATCCTGCACTCAAAGCAGGCACGTAGCCCTCATGTAATTCTCTCTCTGACCCATCAAAATTCTTGAGCAACATGTTCCTTTTTTGCGGAAAGAACACTGACTGCACAGTCACAGGACCAGGAGAAATTCTGGCTCATCTACTTCCTAAATCCTGAACTTGACTTGTCCTTCCACTAGCTAAGCTGGTTGAACAAAAGATCACATTGGGGACACTGAATGTACTCAGAGTCTATTTCCACATTCGGAAAATGGGAATAATGCCTCTCCAATCAAGCTCATCTCGAAAAGCAAAAGCAAAGAGCCCATCTTACAGAGAACAGACTGGCACCTATCAGAAGGCAGGGGTGTGGGTGCGGGTGCAAGGGGATGGAGAAAGGGCTGGAAAGGCAGAGTCACAATTGAGGAGGCCTGGAATGGGGCTCAGCGGGTGTGATCATGGCAAGCCACTAGGAGAGTGGACACCACAACCCAGAGTGTGACCCTCAACATCACAACAAGAGCAACAGAAAAAGGGAAGGAAGGGAAGAAAGTTCGCTTTAGATCGAAATAAATGGCAGGTGCAAAGCAGACAGCATGGAGACCCCGATCCACAGCACCACACTGCACGGTTGGGTGCTCCAAGCAGACAAACCCGACCCTGCACTGGTGTGTGGTGGCAAATGCCACCTAGACTGATGTGGTGCTCATTTCACAACAGGTACCAATGTCCTTGTGCTGTGCACCTGGAATCTGTGTCAGTTACACTTCACCTTTAAAAAAGGAAACTATGGGCATGCTTGCAAGCAGCTGACCCAGGTTCTAATGACCTGGTACCCCACAGGGTCCCCCGAGCCCTGCCATAAGTGATCCTTCGTGCAGAGCCTGGAGGAAGCCCTGAGCATTGCCGGGTGCAACCCCCAAGCCAAAAAAAAAATTTTTTTTAAGGAAAATGCTTATAAGCCCCAAACCTAGAGGCCTTCTCACAGGCACTGGCAATAAGTACTTTTTAAAATCTATACCAATGGTGTCTCCTTTAGTGAAACACTGATGAGTATTTCACTAAAAGGCACACTGAACTGCAAAGTGCATCATATTTGCTCGAATCAGGTGCTTCCTGGTCTTTGTGAAAGGAAGGGGCGCAAGGCAAGTATGGGGAGAAATCTATTTTCCTTATCTAACTCGGCCGGAATTCTTTGAGTGTGCCATTACTATTGCGCCTTCAGTGTAGTCTTTACTCAGGAAGATTAAACTGAATGCAAATTCTGGAAAAAGAAAGTTCTTCTAAGAACATAACAGTGTATTGGGGGCTGGGGCCTGACACCACGAGTTGAACCCAGGGTCTCACACATACAAGCCACGGGGTCTACAGCTGACCCACATCCTGCCTCCCTACATTTTAAGTGCCACCAGAGTTAACTACTGTGCTAGGACTTGAAATAATTTTTTTCAACCTTAAGACTTGAAATATTTTTTTCGGTAACCTTAAGTCTTTCGATATGCCAGACACAGTAACAACAAAGTCTCCAATGGAGATGTTACTGGGCCCGCTCGAGCAAATCGATGATCAACGGGAGGGCCTTTACTTTACTTTACTTTTAAGTCTTTCAACCTTTTTAAGACTTGAAATTTTTTTCAAATATTTTGTTTTGAAAAACAAACCCCAAAAAAAGTGTTTTGGTTTTGTTTTGGGGTCAATCAGAAGAGTTAAGGGACTACTCCTGACTCAGTGCTCATGGGACCATGCAGGACCAGAGCTGAACCCAGACCTCATACATGCAATGCATGCAGTCCACGTCTATGCAACTCTTTTTCAGATGTCAAGCAGGCAAAGTCTTTATCAGAGTTGCTGTGCTGAACACTACTGTCTTTTTCTGTGGGTGGCAAACTACCTTCTCTCTCTCTCTCTCTCTCTCTCTCTCTCTCTCTCTCTCTCTCTCCTCTCTTTTGATCATTGGGCCACACACCTGGTGGCGCTCAGAGATTACTCCTGACTCTACACTCAGGAATCACTCCTGGCAGTGCTCCGGGGGCATATGGGATGCCAGGGCTCAAACCCAGGTTGGCCACGTGCAAGGCAAGCATCCTACTGGCTGTACCATTGACCCCGCCCTCCTTCTTGTTCTCTTAAGCATTGTGGTAGCCCAGGTGTACTGTTGTATGTGCCCTGTGCAATACCAGGGTCGCCTCCCCAAAACATGGCTGCGAGCACCCAGTTGAGGATTCCCTCTCCAGCCCAGCCAGTTCTCTAGGGACCCAGTCTCTTGCCTAGACAGCTCCTAGCTGGAGCCTACAATCCACACATCCAGTCCGCTTTACCCTGCTCCCCATCTCATCTCTAACAACAAACACAGACACTCAGTGGCCCCAGACTTCTCCCTTGACTTCTTTCCCTAATCCTCCCCATTCACCTTTCTTTGAAATGCCCAGAACTCGATTCCCTCTGCTCCAAGGACCACTTGGCCAAACTAAATGCAAGCACTGCTAATTGATCTCTGGGCCCGTATCCAAGTCAGCCCCACGCTCAGACAGAAATGGCGCGTGCGCGCACGCGCACACACACACACACACACACACACACACACACACAGATGTCATTTCCTCTGCTGAAAATCGGTTAACA